AAAAAAAAAAAAAAACACAGAAAAAAGGGCCAAGAAAAGTGAGAAATGATTAAATTTTAGATTATACTCCCTAAAGCAGAACTGCTGAATTATAACATGAACTGGTCCTAAAACATATGAGCTGTTCTACCCAGTTAACAATGATATGTAGATTTTCTTCCACCAACTGGTGATTTAGCTTATATTTTTATTTATTTAATAGTGGTGCAAAGTTGCAAGAAAATAGAGATTTTTTTTTAAATGACTAGTATGTAATTTTCTCAGCATTTTCCCATGTGTGCAGAATTTGTTCTTGCTTACTTATTACTCAAAACCTGGTGTCAACCAGATTTTATTAATTCTTTGTATTGTTTTAGGAAGTGAGACTTTATCATTGTCTTTATGGATATTTTTCTATAGTTTTTAAAAAATATTTGGTTTTCAGGCAATATTTGTTTATATTCAGATATTCATCAGTTCAAGAAATTTTTTTTTTTTTTGAGACAGAGTCTCACTTTGTTGCCCCCAGTAGAATGCTACGGCATCATAGCTCACAGCAACCTCAGACTCCAGGGCTCAAGCGATTCTCTTGCCTCAGCCTCCCAAGTAGTTGAGACTACAGGCACCTGCCACAGCACTTGGCTGTTTTTTAGTGGCAAGGTCTCTGCTGTGGCTCAGGCTGATCTTAAAACTATGAGCTTAGGCAATCCGCCCGCCTTGGGCTCCCAGAGTGCTGAAATTACAGGCATGAGCCACCATGCCCGGCCTTAAGAAGTATTATTTATTTATTTATTTATTTATATTTATTTCGAGACAAGATCTCACTTTATCACCCTTGGTAGAGTGCTGCGGCATCATAGCTCACAGCAACCTTAAACTCTTGGGCTCAAGCGATTCTCTTATTTCAGCCTCCCGAGTAGCTGGGACTACAGGTGCCTGCCACATCGCCTGGCTATTTTTAGAGATGGGGCGCTGGTCTGGAACTGGTGAGCTCAGGTGATCCACCCACTTTGACCTCCCAGAATGCTGGGATTATAGGCGTGAGCCACTGCGTCTGGCCTTAAGAAATATTTTTAGAACACTTATATAAGGGGTTGTAAAGATTAAAAACAATCCTAGGCTGAGGTGGGAGGATTGCTTGAGCTCAAGAGTTCAAGACTCGCCTAAACAAGAGCAAGATCTTGTCTCTGCAGAAAGTAGAAAAATTAGCCTGTTATGGTAGCACCTGCCTGTAGTTCAGCTACTTGAGAGTCTAAGGCAGGAGGATCCCTTGAGCCTAGGTTGGAGTTCTAAGTTGCAGAGAGCTATTATGGTGCCACTGTACTCTAGCTGGGTGACAGAGCAAGACTCTGTGTCTAAATAAATAAATACATAAATAAATGACCCTGGGCGGTGCCTGTTGCTCAGTGAGTGGGGCATCAACCCCATATACCCAGGGTGGCAGGTTTGAACCCGGCCACAGCCAAACTGCAATAAAAAAATAGCTGGGCGTTGTGGCGGGTGCCTGTAGTCCCAGCTACTCAGGAGGCTGAGGCAAGAGAATTGCCTAAGCCCAGGAGTTGGAG